TATGTACTGTTTTTTTGCAATACCTAAATACAGTTTCTGCAACTTATAGGTTGAGTTCCCATTAATATAACACTGAGTATTATCTCTGTGATATCTGTTCTTTTAGAAATATCATGCAGCTGAAGTGCATTAACGCCTCCTACTAAACTAGGATCCTCTCAGTTACAGGTCAGCGTCTGATGAGGCATTTGATATCACACAATGTCATTACAAGGACCCCAGCCTATACACTCGTGATGAAGCACCAACCACTTGGGGGTGGGCTTCCTGGTAATACAATACCACATTCAAAACCACAACCATGCATACCTTCAACCAAAAACCCGGAGTTGGTGTCAATTTTCCCTTCTATTCAAATGTGAAGGAATCAGGCAGACCTTAAACCTGTGATTAAGACTGCGATGTCACTAGGCCTCTTAGAGGAACACAGGCAGGTAGAAATGTGTCAGAGAGACTGGACGAAAGAGAGACAGAGGGAGAGAGATAGAGAAGTGGGAAGTTTGATGATTCACAGTGTGCGTCAGACGATGGGACTGACTACAAGTCTGGCGGCACGAGGGAACATTTTAATCCTCTACTTACCCATACACACACACTTGCTGTTTATGGCATTTATTTTGATGATGAGTGAATATATAGTTGCAGTAGCACACGCTAATATGTGTTTACTCAGAAGAGAAACATCAAACATGTAACAATAAATAAGCAAGTCATAATCTTTCTGTTTTTCACTCTCTTTTTATTTCCTTAATCCCGTTCCTTCCCTCTCCTCTCCATTTCCCCATCTTTCTCCTTTTTCGTTGTCTAGTCGCTCTCTCGTCTTGATACAAAAACACTTTCCATTCAGCCCATCCCTCTCTCACCCTGATACACTCCTCTGTCTTACTTCACTTGTCAGCCGTATCGATCAGTTCAGCTCTTACAGGATTTACATACAGAGCTCACCCAGTTGTTTGTAATGATCTGGCATGGGTTTGTGCATGTATGAGAAAATGGAGAAATGGAGAAACTGCGAGGTTGACAGACTTTGACAAGCTTGCTAGCTTAAATATTGATTCTCTGTGCTCATTTCGGTGCATTTGTCTTTTTCCCTTTAGAATTCTATCCACTGTGGGCTCACAATTCGACTTGCGGACACTCAGGGCTGTGCGAGTATTGAGGCCTCTCAAACTGGTGTCCGGTATTCCCAGTAAGTCGATATTCTTCATCTGAGAAAATTTTGAAAAAGGCTATCTTCACCTTTACCTTGAACCACATCTTTGTCGTTGCTTAACAATTGAGAAAGCGATAAGTGCAGAACATCTTTAAATTTTATTTGGGGATCAAAATAGCATGGAGAAGCATTTTGTGTCAAGGTTTTATGCAGCTTCTGTGTTGCTCTGCATAATGCAACAACAAAAGTGGTACTTCTGTGCACACTCTGCTCATTTTTTAAATGTTATAGTGGCAGTAATGTTCCAGCACTACTGCCACAGCAGTGTTATTAATAGCCTGTTCTCCACTATGGGCTTGAACAGGCATACCAGGGCTTACTCATCATAAAAGTCACTTGGGTTTCTATGAAAAGCCAATTAGAGCATCACACCAGTAGGTGCTACAATATATATGTTTATGGTTTATTTCTATTTATTATAAGTTTAATGATTGGGTATAAATGTGTAATTAGGATATTCAAGTATTTCTTTACAGAAAGGTAGCATAACTGCAAACTAATTGAAATTAGTTTTAGGATAAAGAGAGCGGATAGATTAAAATGAAATGTATAAAATGATTCTTCATAAAATCTTAATACTTTATACCTGTGTGCTTTAGGCTTACAGGTGGTGCTCAAATCCATCATGAAGGCCATGATTCCTCTGCTGCAAATTGGCCTGCTGCTCTTCTTTGCCATCCTCATGTTCGCCATCATCGGCCTTGAGTTCTACATGGGCAAATTCCACAAAACCTGCTTCGACAACATAACAAGTAATGGATTTTGTGTTTACATTTTGGCAATAATTCAGTCGGGATTAAATTGCTCCAAGTTTTCCTCAGAGAAGAGTGCACCTGTTCACGCTGAGGCAGACTTTAAATAGTTGCACTGCTAGAATTAGAACTTAAAATAGTACATTTTTGGTATACTGTGCAGTTTCTGCAGATGTAGCCTCATTCAACATCTGAAGTATTTGACGTTTTCTCAAGAGGGATTTAAAATTATTAAATACATTTGCGAGTACATGGAATTTGCTCATACTTGTTTTATCCCACTTTTACGCATGTTTAGAAGAGATCCGGGAAGAGTTTCCATGTGGGGTAGAGCTTCCATCTCGGCTGTGTCCAGAGGACACCGTTTGTAGAGAGTACTGGCTGGGACCAAACTACGGCATCACCCAGTTTGACAACATTCTGTTTGCTATTCTCACCGTTTTCCAGTGTATCACCATGGAGGGCTGGACTGACCTGCTCTACTATGTATGTCAAGCTGAACAGCATTTGCAACACTAGTACACATTCAGTGACCAACGTTTTGGCCACACCAGTGCACCCAGGAAAGCAGAGGATGTCTATGTAAAGGTGTTAAATTTAGCAAGGCAAAAATAAAAGATTTAATAAAGAAGGTCTTGTTCAAGAGAAAAAAAATGCTACAGCATGCTAAAATTCCACAAACCTGCTCGTATCATGTTTGCCTGTTAATTCATCTTAGAAAAAAAATACAATATCAGTTTATTTTGCTATCTGGTGATCATGGGAAAAAAAAATTTTCTGTCATATTTTGTGGCTGTTTTTTACGGATTAAACCTTCACATTAGCTAAAATATCTATAACAAAACAGCAAACAAAAAGATCTAATGAAGTGCACCTTAGGTTAGCTTTCATGCTTGTCAGACTTATTTTTAAACAAACTCCTGTTAACAAGCTGGAGTAAAATGTAAATTTTACTCCAGTTTGTTAACAGGAGTATTTTCAGTCAAAGCCATTTGAGAGTGCGTTCTCTAATCAAGTACAAAAATTAGACTGTTAAAACCTTCAACAATTTCACCTGTGCAAACTGCTTATCTACCTATTAAATGAGTACTAACAATGCCATCACTCATGTCCAAGACTGAATTGTTCCCTGCTGTCAGGGGCAACGGTTGCTGTGGACACCAGAGGCAGATGAGGGTCTTTGATTGTTACTGTAGTCATCTGTTTTTCCCATCTCCTTTCCCTCTCCGTCCACCCAGTTCTTTTACCTTTCTCCCTCTGTCCTTTCCTTTCTCCCCTTATTCCTGTTTGTCTTCCTGTGTTCTGTCCCTCTCCCTCTGTGTCTCTCTCCTTCTGTCCCTCCTTCCCGGTGCTGCTCTATATTTAAAAAGGCCTGTTCAGCCCAAGTTATTCTTGCAGCTGCTCGGGAGGGGAGCAATAAAAGTTTAATGGTAGAAAAGGGGTCTGCGGTACATTGGGTACACAGCGGCGATGCCGGCTTACATGCAGGAAGAAGGAAAGATGGAGGAGACTGGAAGGAAAAGGGAGGGAGGCTATAAGAAAGAGAGCTCGAAACAGAAAAGAAAAGCCCGGGTCTCAAGTTGGGATTGATAAAATCACTGTAAAGGTTGTTCAGTGACAGTGAGGAGATGGCTATGGAGAAAGGAATGAAGAAAAGGTTAAGCTAGCATTGAGATAGATAAGGGAGTGATGAAAAGGCAGATGGAGGGCGTTCTTAAGGGGTTCCATAGGAGGAGGGGAGACAAAACAATAAGAACTGAATAAAGAATGATAATGAAAGAATGGTCTGTAAGGGAGGATGGTAGGGACCGAGAGCGAGAGAGCAAAGCATTTGTTATACATTATTTACTCTCTCGGAGCAGCTAAATAGAGTGGCAGATACGCATTTACTTACTGAGATGACTTAAAGCAAAATCATGTCATGCCTGCTTTTGTTTATGTTTCCATAAGTCGTAGACAGCAGTTTAAAGCACATTGTTTCCACTCTTTAATGACAACGTCAAAGAATAAGTCACTAGGATAGCAGTAGGTTATTTTTAATTAGGCTATATAAAGCGTATTATATCTTTAACTTGGTGGTGGTGCATATATATGTACATGAACGTACCTCAATGTGACAAAGCAGGGAGGTAGAGAATGAATTTTGATGCCTTCAGCTTTCAGCAAATCAATATGTATATATAGCTACAGCTGCTCAGTTTTTCAGGTGTACCCACTTTGCTGATTTAAATGAATGAAAAATTCAACCTTTGATTCAAAGTAACTGAAAAGTTCGTCTTATTAATATTAACCTTTGTTAAACTCACATTTATAAACCATTATCTAACATTAACTGGTTTCTTTTAATTCACTTTGTATCAAATACTCAAGTAAAGAGCAAAACATTGATTCCTGATTAATTATGTTTGTGTGTGTGTG